CGCCCCCGCCATCCTGATTGCCCCGCCGTCCCTTGGACCGCTTCCTCGCGCGCGGGGACGCCACAGCTCGGCACCCAGGGGACGGGACGGGCGCGGAGGGGATCGGGACCTCCCAGCACCCTGGGGACAGACTGGCGCGCGGGGACGCGAAGGCACCGTGCGGGGGGTGGGGGGGGGAAGAGACAAGACAAGCGCGCGGGGGTCGGGACGGCACCACCACGCCAAGAGAAGAATGCGCGGCGCGGGTGGTGGGCTGGGGTGGGGGAAGGACAGGACAGAAGGATGGCTGGGGCCCTGAAGAGAACGAGGGCGGGGGAGGCACCGCTGGCGGGTATCCCTCCCGCCACGTTCCCACTCCCTGTTCCGCAGCCGCAGGACTGCAGAGAGCGAGGAAGAGGCACCGCTGCCCCGCACACGAAGACGATGGCGATCAAGACAAAGCAGGCGGCGGAGGGGAACTGGAAACAATGTCTGCTCCAACCAGGCGGGGCCCGAGGGGCTCATCAACAAAGCGACCTAAGGTGAAGTGCCCGTAACTGACTTGCAGACTAGCCACTCAGCGGCGGCCCTGGCTTCCTCCAATCACCTGGCCCCGCCCCCTGTTCCTCCCCGAAGCAGCCCCAGGCTTCCCAACCCTTCAGGGACCGTGGCCAGGACGCCCTGCGGCGCACTCCAGGGTTTTCCCTGGCAAAACCTGATTGTTGTGAGCGCAGACCCAGAAAACCACTCGGACACACAGTCGTGTAGAAGAAAGAAGCTTCTAATGTCCGCTAGGGGCTGACAGGCTATCCCTGGCGGGATGGAGAGTAGATCTTGTGTCAGGAGTCTGGGGCAGGAAATCTTTGTAGTCCCAGCCGGACCCTGGAGATTTCAGACAGCCAGGGCAGGACATTCTATAGCTAGCTTGCAGCAAGGGAAAACTTTAAATACATTCTACAGCTAGCACAAAGCAAAGTCAATACCTCAGATAGCTGTCAAGTAGCCTGGGAAAACATCCTACAGCAGAAATGATACCTTCTACAGCTGGCCTTTGCCACCAACTATATATACACTAGAACCTGCGTGTGACCAGGACTGAGCTTTCAGAACTACGTTGCTGACCCAGCTGGGGCCGGTGGGAATAAGCAGTTATAGCCAGGCCTGTCGTTTGGATGACCCAGGGTGAAGGCTGTCAACTCATAAATAGAGGTGAACAAGCTTACAGTTGTAAAAATCGCTTCTATCTTGTTTCTCACTGTCCATTTGAACTCTAGTAATCACTTTTCTTACAGTACGGGAAGTGGAGGCATGGCTCAAGTGGTACACACACACACACACACACACACACACACACACACACACACACCAACCTTAAGCAGTAAAAGCCATTGACTATAATTCTGAGAGGGAAAAGGACTTCGTTTAGGACAAAAACTGGTAGCTGGAGACACCTGCCTCCCTGGCCAATGACTTCCCATAATTTCTATGGAAAATCTTTTCTCCCCTTCTAGAACTCAAGGTTTCCAGCTTGCTGGGCAGGCACTCTACCATTTGAGCCTACTCCCACCTCGTGTACATGGATATGATTATTTGACACAGGATCTTGCTTGTAGCCTACTTTGGCCTCTAATTCAAGATCTTGCTGACTCAGGATGCAGGCATGAGCCATCATGTCAAACAATATTTTAAATTGTGGGTTAAGTTCACTTTTTAGCAGATCTTTTTTTCTGTCATTCTCCTACTGAGCATTAAACCCAGGATGTTGCACTTGCAAGGCAAGTACTTTGGCACTGGGCTACATCCCAGCCCTTAAGTTAACTTTTAACTAAGTAATATTAATTTTTTAATTTATTTTTTATTGTGAAAATACTGTACAGAGGGGTTACAATTAGATGGGCAAGATAATGAGTACATTTCTTAACAAGCATTGTAGCCTCCTCCTTTGTTTCCCCTTCCCATCCCTTCCCAGCCTCCCCCCCTTACCCAATCCTCCCCCCCACCAAAGTTGTAAAGTTCGTTTTCCACATGACAACTTGTACTTCTCATTGTTGCAACGGGTAGTAATATTAATTTTTGTGCATAGGAAAACTTTCAGAGACGCAGGTCTTCTCTGGCATTATCAGTGAATTGAAGAGGGGACAGGAACTACTTCCTGGAAATGTAGACACAGGAAAAAGGCTCCAAACTTTACCCCTTCAAAGATCAGTGTTTTCTCTTTGATAACAGCAGAGGGCAGACAGAAATCTTTCACCATCAGGATGGAAATGTTGTACCCCAACTTTTAATTAACATAACCTTGAGTCACAGCAACATTTAAAGTATACAATTGACCTTCAGTGTAGCATTAATATGGCTTAAGTCAAATTAAGCTTTTTTCTAAAAAAGGGGGGACGGGGAAGGGACTAGCCTGGTGCCTGTGATCCTAGCCTCTCAGGAAGCTAAGATCTGAAGATCCACGGTTCCAAGACAGCCTAGGCAGGAATGTCCTTGAGACAGTAAGCTCCAATTAACACTTAAAAGCCAAAAGTGGAGCTGTGGCTCATGTGGTAGAGTGCTAGCCTTTATTTTAAAAAACTCAGGGACAGCACACTGGTCCTGAGTTCAAGCCTCAGGACCAGAATAAACAAAAAAGAAGCAGGGGTCTGGGAAGGTGGCTCAGTGGTAGAATGCTTGTCTTGCATGCATGAGGCCCTGGGTTTGATTCCTCAGCACTACATAAGCAGAAAAAGCCAGAAGTGGCGCTGTGGCTCAAGTGGTAGAGCACTAGAGCTCAGGGACAGCACCCAGGCCCAGAGTTCAGGCCCCACAACTGACAAAAATAAATAAATAGATAGATAGATAAATAAATAAATAGATAAAGCAGAGTGTGTGGGGAGAACAAATACATCTTTAGAGGAAAAATAGAGGGAAGATTACATGATAATTAACATTTTTAAAAACTTGATGAGTTGAATATGTAGGAAAGAAACTACATATGAACTTATTCATATTTTAATGTCTTTGTCTTGAAAATATTAAATTCTGGACACAACACAGTAAAGACAATTAAAAAGCAATTAGGAATTCAAGTTTATAGCACCGACTTACCTCCTAAGGAAGTCTCTTGATTTGTACTTTGGCCTTGAATTTGATCTATGCCCTTCTTGTCATGACAGGCTGGGTCACTTAGTCTACAACATTCTTCTAGTTGCATGACAATGTGTGGGAATAGATTCACAATTAATAAAACATGTCGAGTAAGCAGCTATACTGAGGAATTAAAGGACATTTCTCTAGTAAGTGTAAAAAGAAATGTCTCACTTTGCTATTTTGTACACAAAACAGTTCACACCTGTAAGGTCTGCCCTAGTCAAGGAGGCCCTTTGCAGACACCTCTCTAAGTCTTGGCTAAATTTCCACGCAGTATCTATTACCTGGGTAACTAGCACACCCTAGTCACCTCTCCTCTGGCTTGGTCACATCCTGGGCTGTCCACCCATGCCTCCCATTGACCGGGAGAGGGTCCCAGGCCCTGAGGTCACATTCAGATCCAGTGTGGCCACACCTTTCCATTTCTTCCCATCTCTTCCCATTTCTGGCCTATGTAAGTCCTGGCCTGGGAGTGGGTCACCCCTTTTAGGTCATGCCTCTCCACCATGCACAGAGGGGGCAGCAGTTCAGTAAATAAACTGCTTTTCCCTTCTGAATAGTGCAGGTGTTCTCTTCATCAGCTACATAATGAAATCTACCTATTTCATATACCTTATAATGTCTGATCATTTTGGTAAGGGGCAAAACTATACCATCTCTAGAGTGTAAAAAAGTCATGTAGAGGGGCTGGGAAGGTGGCTCAGTGGTAGAGCGCTTGCCTTGCATGCCTGAGGCCCTGGGTTCGATTCCTCAGCACCACATAAGCAAAAAGAAAAAAGCCGGAAGTGGCACTTTGGCTCAAGTGGTAGAGCGCTAGCCTTGAGCTGAAGAGCTGAGGGACAGCGCCCAGGCCCAGAGTTCAGGCCCCACGACCGGACCCAAAAAAAAAAAAAAAAAGTCATGTAGACTCAAATTAGATTTTAGTTAAGAAAGACAAGAAAGAATATAAAAATAGGTTGTACAGTTTGTACCAGGCCTACAGTAGCTTCTTCTCTTCCTCACTTTTTTCCTCTTTCTTTTACTTTCTTCCTTTTTCCTCTCTTTTCACTTCAATGAGAAGGAATACTTTGCAAATTTAATTCGGGGTGGGGGGGCTGGCAGTGCAATGAATGGAGTCACCATTCCCAGCACTAAAAAGGTTGAGGCAGGAAGATCTTGTGTTGGAGGCCAGGCTGGGCTACATAGAAAGACCCTATCTGCCAGGCCAGTGGTTTGTACCCATAATCCTAGCTACTCAAGAGGCTGAGATCTGAGGACAGTGGTTCAAAGCTAGCCTGGTCAGCAAACTCCTTGTTATCCTGACATTCTCCTTTCCCGAGATTGGCTTACAAAGGGCCCTTTTGGTTCAGGCAGCTGATGACCAACTCCCTCCCTTTCACCTTGAAGTAACATTCTATTTAGTCAGTCACAGCCATAAATTGTAACCTCAGGGCCCCTTATCTACTATTCTGGCAGCTGCCACAAATCTTAGCTCACTATAATGGAAC